TAGATAGGTTGTTCATTTAACTTCAATTTTTTTTTTTTTGGTCTCGATACGACCATTTCTCGCTGAGCTATCGGACTTTGAATGAAAATGGATCATTTTCTCTTTGTTCATCGATATCTCAGAAACCAATGGTTGCACAGAAAATCGACGGTGGGTTTCAGAAACTTGAATGAATTCTCTACAAGGTCCCGGCATGGTTTTTTAGAAAAAAAAATTTTAATCTTAACATGACTGAAAAATCGTAAAAATAGGACTTTTAGGGGTCTCCTAGAAAATCACGTGCCACATTGAGAATATTGGGAAAATGACTAATGTTAAGTGTGCCTTTTGCAGGTCATTGTACCCCTAAAAGCCCTACAGAGTTTCAATTCGATCCATCAAGCCGTTTTTTTGTTTCATTCGATTGAATAATTTCAAACGCTTTCTGCAATAACAATGTAAAAAAATCAGGAAAAATTTTTTCATTTTTTTACAGATTATGAGCATTTAAAGGCAAAAATACGTGATCCTTTAATTTTTTAAAAAATTCAATCGAATGAAACAAAAAAACGGCTTGATGGATCCTATTTTTACGATTTTTCAGTCATGTTAAGGATAAAATTATTTTTTTCTAAAAAACCGTGCCAGGACCTTGTAGAAAATTCATTCAAGTTTCTGAAACCCACCGTCGATTTTCTGTGCAACCATTGGTTTCTGAGATATCGATGAACAAAGAGAAAGTGATCCATTTTCATTCAAAGTCCTATAGCTCAGCTAGAAATGGTAATGAGACCAAAAAAAAAAATTGAAGCTAATGAACAACCTATCTAATCCATAAGGTGGTTAAGTTGGAAAAATTTTTACAAGTCCGTACACCAAAAATAAGATCGAAAAAAATTTCGAAAAATTTTTTTTCATGATATTCATTAAGATTGCGCGATACGTGTTACTTGAAATTTTTTTTGCAAGATCCAATAATTAGAAACTTCAAGCTTCAAATTGCTTTTTTTTACTTCAATACGACCATTTTTATCAAAGATACAGCCATTTGAAAAATCGCCCAAAATTTAGATTTTTTTTTGATCCCTTAATTTTTTCCACTAGTGTATTTTATTTAGAAAAATATACCACCAATAGCCAGTAACTCCACCACTGGAGCATGTAAATTTTAGGAAAAGTCCTCACATTTTGGACAATGTTTACATAAATACATGAGCCCAATTTCAAATTATTTCACTTACTAAATTCTAAATTATTTAAAAAAATTAAAAATATTTTTTGAAGTTTAACACCCTGTATCTTTTTAACGAAGCGTCCTAGATATAAACTTTATATGAAAGACTCCCCTTAAAATTCACCAAAGAATACGAGATTTCATTTTTGGTCACCATTTGTGAATCACCCTGTATAAATTATTATGTTTTGGATTATCAGATTTTTTAAAATTGTTTATGTCCTAATCAACAAACAGCGCATTTAATGTTCACTATTGTGGTTAAAGTCTGAGTTGATATTTTTGCGATATCAGGAGTTCTACAAGATTCAATTCTTGGGCCGTTCTCATTTACCTTGTTTATTAATGATATTTGGAGGGAAGAGCTTTATTATATATCAATGGTCTGCCTGTAATTTAAATGTGAATTTTTTTTTACTTTCGAAAACGACACATTGCCGATAGTCACACCCTGTATATTTAAAAAACTTATGTGCGTTTCATTCTTCTTGACGAAGATTAAAATGTTAATATGTTTAATTTTAGAACCTCGACTGGTAGCTAGAGCCCTTTATAATTTCGTCGGCCAAACCGCCAGGGAGTTAACTTTCCGTAAAGGAGATTTAATATACGTCAGGAGGCAGGTCGACAAAAACTGGTACGAAGGGGAGTTAAATGCCATGGTGGGTCTGTTCCCAACAAACTACGTAGAGGTGAGTACTTGATATTTTGTACAGAAACAACGAAAAAATGTCTCTAAAGGTGTTGTGATGTTAACATGTGCATTCATATCCTTATACTTATCAGTGATAGTGTCAAATAAGGAATATGTATAATTATTTCAACATATATCATTAACTTTTAGAAACAATGTATTTTTATAAATTAGTCTTTTAACCTACGTTATAGTAGGATCATATTCGATGAAAAGTAATAAATCATTGCCTATCAAGGGATCCAGTGCAGTACGGTTTTAAGGGGTTTAGAAATTGAATAATTTCTTTATACATATAAGTGTACTTTTAAATCATTTTCGAACTGCCCTTTTTGATTTTTTCTTTACAAAATTGTATTTGTAAGGATCCCCTGTACATCCAGAATTTTTTTTTGGATAAGTTCTGAATCACCCTGTATAGAGTGGTAGAACAGGTCTGGAGATTAAAGCCTCTTTCAATTCTCCAACAGCACGCCGGTCTTCTTTTTGCCAGTTCAAATTTTACCCTACAACTACAAGATGTAACTCAAATCAGTTATTGATTTCATCCAGTGACGATCTACTAAACTGTTTCTACACATTTTTTAAATTTTCGTGCAGTGATACGAAACGTCAAATCAACAAAAATACGTTGTAATTCAATAAGACAAATTATTTTCTCGGTAATAATAAAAGGTGTCCTAAAAGAAACGCAAAACTATAACACACTACAAGACACAAATAAGTTTGTGTTTCTGACTAAGGCGAGAATGAGAAAGAACGCATTCGGCTAGAAGAAGTAAGACGTAGATATTTGTAGGTGGAGCTATCTCAGACGTAAACTTATTTGTGTCGATTCGTACATTATTTAGCTATATTTAGTACATAGACTTAAGGTTTCAAATTAGCGTTTCTAAATCAGTAAAATTTGTCCACAGGAACTTCAGGATATGAACTCACGCCGACACACCGACAATTTCATTCCTTCGCAGAAATCTCCTATCTCCCTTAACCGTTACGACGACTTCGACGACTTAGCACCCACCGTAAAACCACGACCACGGTCACCAGGTACGTTCCAGCAATTCACCACATTAATTAGTATGATCAAACCATTATTAGTAGTACTCATTGGAAGAATTTGATGGATAGGGTGACGGACTGTTATTATACAGGGTGATTCACTAATGGTGACCAAAATTGATACCTCGTATTCTTTGGTGAATTTTAAGGGGAGTCTTTCCTATAAAGTTTTTATCTAGGATGCTTCGTTGAAAAGATATACGGTGTTCAACTGCAAAAAATAATTTTAATTTTTTTAAATAATTTAAAAACTAGTAAGTGAAATAATTTGAAATTGAGCGCATGTATTTATGTAAACATTGTCCAAAATCTGAGGGATTTTCCTAAAATTTACATGCTCCAGTGGCGGAGTTACTGGCTATTGGTGGCATATTTTTCTAAATAAAATACACTAGTGGAAAAAGTTAAGGGATTAATTTTGGTGTACGGACTTGAAAAAATTTTTTCCAACTTAACCACTTTATGGATTAGATAGGTTGTTCATTTAACTTCAATTTCTTTTTTTTTGGTCTCGATACGACCATTTCTCGCTGAGCTATCGGACTTTGAATGAAAATGGATCATTTTCTCTTTGTTCATCGATATCTCAGAAACCAATGGTTGCACAGAAAATCGACGGTGGGTTTCAGAAACTTGAATGAATTCTCTACAAGGTCCTGGCACGGTTTTTTAGAAAAAAAA